AATCAGGATGGAGAGGTGGGTAGATAGGTGGTAAGCAGGTAAGAGGTAACTACCCCTACTCCCTGCCCCACTGCAAAACACCGACAACTCTTTTGGGCAAAAAACAGGAATGCATGATCGCCTGCTTTGTGCTAAAAAAAAAAAAAAAAAAGATGGTTTTAAACCCTAGCCCTCTCGGTTTCAATTATGCTTAATAATCACGTTGTTTTAGGCTCCCAGTATTATTGATATTCCAATAACAAAATGAAAAAAGCTTTTCTTTGGTGGGGAGAAGGGACTGGGGATTGAACTCAGGGGCACTGGACCACTGAGCCACATCCCCAGCCCTATTTTGTATTTAATTTAGAGACAGATTCTCACTGAGTTGCTAAGTGCCTCGCTAATGCTGAAGCTGGCTTTGAACTCATGATCCTCTGTCCTCAGCCTCCTGAGATGCTGGGATTACAGGTGTGTGCCACCGCACCTGGCTGGATAAAGCATTTTAATAATTAATATTTCATGAGAGAAATATTTTCTCCTCAATTGGAATGACAGAGTCAAATGGAAATTGGGAAAATCCTGAGATATATTTTAGGCACTCATATTTTTTTCCTTCTTGCTGGATTTCTGACAACCCATAACTTCAGAATCAATGTCCTCCTAAAATTCTTGCTTTACCAGAGAAGAGGGAGAAAGCTATCTGGTTAGGACAGCAGTGCTCACTCTGATTTATTTATTTATTTGGTATTGGGGATTTAACCCCAGAGGCCCTTTTCTTTCTTTCTTTTTAATTAAATGTTACAACTTTAAAAAAAAAAAACTTTTAAAAAAAATTTTAGTTGTAGACAATACCCTTACTCATTTATTTTTATGTGGTGCTGAGGATTGAACCAAGGGCCTTGCATGTGCCAGGCAAGCACTCTACTGCTGAGCCACAATCCCAACCCAGAGGCCCTTTTCCACAAAGTTACATCCTGGTTATTTTTATGTTTTTGAGAGAGGGTTTCACTAAATTGTTCAGGTTGGCCTCAAATTTCAGGTTTTCTTGCCTCAGCCTCCAGAGTAACTGGGATTACAAGTGTGTACCACCTCCCATGGTCAGGGCAGGGATCATTGTCTATCAAAATCTGGTCTTTAAATCTTTTTTTTTTTTTAAGAGAGAGAGAGAGAGAGAATTTTAATATTTATTTTTTAGTTTTCAGCAGACACAACATCTTTGTTTGTACGTGGTGCTGAGGATCGAACCCGGGCCGCACGCATGCCAGGTGAGCGCACTACCGCTTGAGCCACATCCCCAACCCTGGTCTTTAAATCTTAAAGTCAATATACAGATTCCTAGCTGGACTTACTGTGCCAGACTGTTATCTATGGAAGAATTTTATACTTTTTGGAAATAAATCAGAGTTAGTCTTAGAAATTATGCCAGGTAGAGTTTTCTGACCTTGGATGGGAATTGTTTTTATTTGTTAAACTCTGAAGCAAATTCCCATTGGTCAGTAGACTTGAGGACAAAATTATTTAAACTCTAATCCTTCAGTGGTTCAAACTCTGCAGCTCACATAATCAGCAGTATTCCAGAACTAAAATATCTGCTCTTGCTTTCCCAGGGCAGAGGGAGAGAGTTAGTTTACTGTGGCAGGTGAGAGCCAGTTGCTAAATAATCTGAAGTTATACAAACCACAGCTGTGAGTAGCTTTCAGTTTACCATGATTAAAATATTTACACCACGGGGGCTGAGGTTATGGCTCAGCAGTAGAGTGCTCACCTAGCATGCAGGGGGCACTGGGTTTGATCCTCAGCACCACATAAATGTAAAATAAAGATATTGTGTCTGCCTAAAACTAAAAAATAAATATTAAAAAATGTTTACACCATGGAAATTGGCAGACACTACAAAGATTTTTTTTTCTTTTAGCAGCGCAGCACTGCATATAAGCTCAAGCAAACAGAATAGATCCAGGAATTGAGAAAATATTCTCATATTCCTAAAAAGTAGGACCATAAAGCAATCAGTAAATTTGAAAAGAAGACATAAAAATAAAATCTTTCTATTGTTAGTTTAATATGATCTAAAGAAACTTTAAAGAAACTTTAAGTTTGTAGTTATACATTAATTCCCAAGAGACATGCCTACAAAGACTGTCCTTTTCTTTAGAATTGAGGGGTGGGAAAACAGGGTGACCTTTACAGACCTCAGGAATACACTGTTGAATATCAACAGTATGGAAAGTTAAGGCAAAAAAAAAATAACTATTATGAGTAGCAGCAGGAAAAAGGAGGGACTCTTTTTCAAATATTTAAATATAGGTTACAGAGTCTGCAATGATGCTCACTGAAATGTTAATTCAATTCAATTCAACTTGACAAACATTTACAAACAATAAGTGTTTGTTGAATTGAATTGAAATGTTAACATTTATCCTCCTGTGATATTTCTCTGCAAAAAAATTAGAAAGTATCCTCAGACTATAAATTCTACCCTGAGATGAATGTTAACTTCATAATAAGTACGACCATCAAATATTTATACCTAGCCTTATTTCAAGACACCTGTCATTGACTTATTTAGCAGCTTTGACAAAATAATGCAGAGATTCTAACACATTTAAATGCTACAAGAAAATAAAAAGCAGGAAACAGAGCTTCCTGGACTTTTAATTTAATGGGCATCTATGAATATTTATAGTAGATTTGCTTTTTTTCACAACTGGGTAGTTATCTCCTTACTTTTAATAGAAACACTTTAACCCTACCTCTACTGAAAGCACATTCTTCACCCAGTTTCAGTACATCCCTTATAGAAGTATTTGATACTCTCCTGGTACTAAGCAAAGACAGTAATGACCAATGCATGCATCATATTTCCCTGAGAACAGTGACTGACTCCAAGATGGACATTTCCCTCACTCACAAATAAATTATTCTTAAGATTTTTGGAAGAGGAGCATACTCTCCTTCTGACCTTGACCTTGAACCTGGAAAAATATATATCTGACTCCTGACAGCCACCTTCCTACATGGAAATAAACCCAACATGAAGGAAAGCAGGGCTGAAAGATATAGAAAGATTCAGGCCAGGTGATATTCTTTAAACCCCTAGTCTAAACCATCATTAAGCTAACCTTATCAATCACTTCAGGTGATAATTTACTTTTCTTTCCTTATAATAGCTTGAGAGGTTTTCTTTTACCACAAAAAAAGAGTCCTAATAATATAATGCAATGTAACATATCATATCAACTTATAAAAGTCTTTTGAAAGTGCCAAAGTCATCTCTTTACCAGCCTTAATATCCAGGTCCTTTTCCACAGAATTTGCAGTTCTTCCTGTCAAAAGGCAGAGGCTACCTATTACCTCTGAAAGTTGGTCTTGGTCAGATGATTTGCTTTGGCCAATGAAATGCTGGTAGATATAATGCATTCAGAAGTTTAAAGTGAGCTTGCATGAATGGGCTTGCCATCTTGGGCTTGTTATGGCTATAACAAAAAGATGTCTCAGCATGCCTGTTGGTCCAAGGAAGATGAAAGAAATGTAGAGAGTAAAAGTGTAGAGTAGAACTCAGTACTGCAGTCACCACAGTATAAAGTGGAGCCACTCCAGCTAACCTGCAGATCCCAAAGAATGAATAATTCCTGTTTAAGATACTAGGTTTCAGAATTTGATGCACAAAATACTCATTTCATTCCCAGAATTAGAAGAGGAAATTTATAAATATCTAAGGAGATTCTTCAGGATTTTGCGAGTGAATAGGGAGTTTTCAGGGCAAATTAGTGGCCAAGCAGGTAAGAATAGCCACAACTTATATAGCATGCAGCATATGCCAGGCATCGTTCCAAGTGATTTGCATAATTATGTTTTACATAATTAATCTCTGCAATAATAAATATTTGCTCTTATTGTTACTATTTTACTGAGATAAAACTGAGGACCACAGAGATAAAGAAACATGCTCAAGTCACATAGTCAATGCTAAGTTTTGAATCCACTTTGTACTGCTATACTATAGTAAATAGGTTGGATTTAAAAAAAAAAATCAGTAGGCAATGAATGCTGAGGACTATTGTTCTCCATAGGTTAAGGCCTCATCATGTTCATGACTGAAACAATGTAGGATTAAGAGTCCAACCTTTTGATAGAAGCCCAAAGTCCAGATTTGGGAGAAATCTATTTTAAAGTATTTTAAATGTCTAAATACTTTTTAACACCATGAAGGTCAACCCTCTGCAGTGAATGTTCAACAGAACACATTTAAATCTAAATTCAGCTGTGGTCTGTTGTTTTGCACCCACTGATCTAAGTTTAGCAGGTCAGTCTTGCTCAGATGGCAAGTGTCTGGCACCTGTATCTCAAGAGCTTTTCTAATGTCCTTGAAAGTCATGACAAAAGCTTTATTTTTCATGATACTAAAAGGCAAGAAAACATGGTGCTTCTGCAGTATTTTTTTCTTTATGCCTTCACACTGTCCCCATATTCTCGTGTACCCGCTTTGTGAGTCCTTAAAGCTACACTAGATTTCCGAATTTCCTCATATCCAGAGATTTGGGCTGGTGCTCCCTCTGCCTGGATCATTCTCCACTCTTCCTCATCAGGTCCCATTTAAATGTCTTCCTCTAAGAAGCCTCAGCCAATGTCCCTTGAGAACTCACTAGGGTACCTTCCTGGGTTCTCTTGGAGACCCATGTACCTCTTTTACCAAAAAGGAGAGTCACTTGTATTTTATCTGCTTCTCATTTGAAAGCATCTCTCAGTGGGCTAGAATCTTGGAAGGCAGTTGATCAGACTGCTCTGCTCACAGTTCCTAACATACAGTAGGTGTTAAGAAAAATGTTTATTGCATGAAAGGAGAAATTCACAAATAAAAGAACATGTAGAGATCTTGCCAGAGTTACAAATGTTACTTCATTTGGTCTTCCTATTATAGAGACACATGGACAGACAGACAGACAGACAGACACACACACACACACACACACACACACACACACACCCACAGAGAGAGTCACAGAGAGACACACACTCACCTAGATAAAGCAAGAGCACGATTAACTCTTTCTTCAAGGCCTAATGTGCCCAGGGCCTTCCAGGTCATCCAGAACTTGAATGCATCTGGTCTCCTGCTACATTGGATGGACTTGTCTCCTGTGTCATAGCTGACATCATAGAATTTATCCTGCTGGAAGAGATAGGATGCCTTGGCAGAGTAGCATTTCTTAAGAAGGTCCTTTGGAAAAAAAAATAAGAAAAGATGAAGAGACTGTTTATTTTTAAAATATACTTGGATTTTTAATAATTTTTTTAAAATTTTTATTCTAATTTGTTATATATAACAGCAGAATGCATTACAATTCATATTCCACATATAGAGCACAATCTTTCATATCTCTGGTTGTATACAAAGTATATTCACAACATTCGTGTCTTCTGTACGTGGTGTACTACTTGAATTTTGAAAACACAGAAACAAAACCTATAAGTTATTCTACTACTAGTACCAAAAGTAGTAGAATATGTCCAGTCCCTGGACACTCTTGGTATGCTCTGATTTTGAGAATTTTGATTCACTGAGTTAAAAAACAAACAAACAAACAAACAAACAAAAAACAACCCTCAGAGTTGACAATTCTAGGTTCAGCTCCACAGTTTCACTGATGAACAGGAGAAGTGAGGAGACCATGCCTTCATCATCTCTGTGAACATCAAGGTGGCCAGTTTCCCAAGATGAATCATCTGGAACTCACTCAAAGTTCCAAAATGAGGACAAAATATCTGACCTATTGTACATGATGTTATACGACTGCATAAGCAAAAAGCTAGGTTTTTAAACTCTATTCTTTTCAACTCATATCCACAATGAAAGGCCAGACATGACAATAATCCAGGGATGGAAACCTAAGGAAGGAGTTTTGGGAGAGTTCAACATGACTTGCAAGTTCCAACAGTCACAGAGCATCAACTGCCACCCCCAGGGGTCTTTCACGTTTGTTTTTGTTTCATATTGGTCTTCTTTACAACCAAACTCCCTTCACATTTACTAATTGATTACTTTTCACTAAGAAGCCAGTAACAATTTCCTGTTTACCATCATTTTATGGTCTTCACCTTGACCCCAAATTATTAGAGTTCAAACCACGTTGCCCTCGGTGTCATCAGGCATCTACAAAACCCCAGATTTCCTGACCTGTCATCCATATCCCTCACACCCTCCTAAGCTCCTTCATGCCTGCAACACATTTACTGGAACCCTCTCCACTTCCAGGGTAGTCAATCTTCTCAATGTCCCTAAACACAGAATTTTGTGCCATCTGTACCTTTGCTCACATCATTTGCTTGAGCTTGACTCTATTTTATTATAAGATTTGACACATTCAAAAGAATACATGCAATCAGTACATTTATAAATTCTGAAGATTACCATCACTAAATATAGCCTTCCATCTTTATCTAGGTCTACCGTTTCAGCGGGTCTTGTCAAGTTTTTCTTGACAAGACAAGCTTCTGGTCCATTCCATCAGACTCATACTTAGCTGCATTTGCTGCCATGCTGTTCCCATTTAATGAGTAGTAGTCACCACATTTTCCTTGGGTGTCCCAGCAAGTTCTTGAGCACAGGGGTCATTCCTACCCATTTCCATTTTCATGGAGCTTAATGCTTTGCTGGACACAGCGTGCCCTCGTTACACACAAGGACATGATGCCCCTCCCCAAAGCCACGCTTTTCATGGGGTATGAACAGAAAAAGTCCAGATACTCGTGTTTCTCATTCAGTGCATCTTCCAAACTTTAACAATGTAAACCTGCCAGGTCTGTCCCAGAAGCTACAACAAGACTCCTCCCTAGACACAGAGATCCTAGTAAAGCTCCTTTCTAATCAGAGAATATATTAAGTATGTTCCATTTGACTGATCAGCTTGCACTTGAGAGAGTGAAAAGAAAATTTCAAGGCATCAAATTCCAAATAAAAGACAAATCTGCCTTTTTAATAGAAACATTGTCTTGTGTGGACACTAATCTCCATCTAAGTATGTTCCATTACCAAAAAGCATGATTTTACATAATGGTAAACCATTATATACCAAATATGATCAGGAAGTCCCAAATCTCACTCACTATTCACAATAAATGAGTATAAAATAATAATCAAAGGAATACTAGTTAGATGTGAAGCTGGCTCTGATCCATATTCTTGGTGAACACAGGGGAAGAGTAAATTGCTCAGATGTAACAAAAAAGTATAAAAAAGCCCCCTACTCTTAAATGTTCACTTTTATTTTGCCACCATTGTCCCTCCCTACCTCAATGGTCAAAAAATTTGGTTATTGTTTCCATACTATCTGCTATATAGTATAATGTTATAGTATAATGCATTTATTTTAAGTACAAAACGTGCACGCACATTCACAACGCCATTATACACACACTCATACTTGCACCATGATTCGAAATTGACTTTTATCAAACATGAAAGACTTTTTAAAAATCCCCACAGAAATGAACTTTGATCATGTCTCTGGGAAGCTTCAAGGGCTTATATTAGTGACTGAGATGAAGGAAAGTCCCAACCATTATCAGAGGACAAACTGCATCCTCAGAGGCAGATAAGGAAGAAAAGAGCCAAGAAAACATAGAAGAATGAGCAATTGTCCTGCAGTAGTGACACGGTTAATTTCACTGCACAGAAAAATCCTCCTGCCTCAGGAAGGTTTCATAAAGAACAACTAGAGGCTTGGGATTTACTTTATCGAGAATAAATGAAAACTTCCCCCTAAAGTTTCTGCTTTGCATTTTAGTCAATGTCCTTGTATTAAAATGGATGAGAGGTCCTTTAGTTTCAGGAAACACATTAACTAAGAGAAGAGGTTCAGATCTCTAGAGAAAACAACATTTTGAACTAAGTATATAAAAAGTTAATATTTTTGAAAAAAAAATAATTACTTATTACTGTGCTATCAAAAAGAAGGACCGGGCTTAACTTACTCATCTTCATAGCTTTAATCCTAGCAGGACAATAAATACCAGTTATAAGAATTCTGGCAACAAATACCCAGTGAGAATACCAATTGCTTTGTATTGTGATATTAACTCACACTGTTCTCAGGGATTAGCAGACATTGCATTAGGACTTGCATAGTGGCAAATGAAAGAAGCTTTAGCAAAAGAAAGAGGAATTTTTATAGGCTTGCCTCATATATTTAGAGGTCTAGTCATATATAATCTTCAGGCACAGTTGGATTGGAATTAAACGATATCCGTCATCAGGAATCTGCCTTTTCCTTTTGTTCTATTGTCTTCTGTACTGTCGCTCCCCAAGTAGAGAGCCAGCAGGAGGCAGAGGAATTAGGGCTTCTGAGTGGGAGCCCTGAGCATGGGCTATTTAGAGAGAGAAGAAAAATAGAAAAGAAATAGCTTCTACTGGTGAAGAGCAACTACTGATGAAGAGCAATCTCTTGTCTAAACCTTCAGTAGGATCTTCTAGACCCTCTGAGTCCCCATCTTGGCATCCATCCTTATTGGGGCTGCACTACCAAGTTCCAGTAAGGATCTTGCTGAGTTGGTTTAGAGAGAACCCTCGCCCCCCAACCAGCACCACCACCAACAACAACCTGGATATCTGATCACCTTTGGTATCTCACCCAACTCTTCATTCCTCCTCCTCAGTGTCTGGTTATCCTAGCTTGCCTTCAGCAAGAACCCTGCTAACCTCTATCTCCCTTTCATTGCTAGTGTTTTCTCAGTAATTTTCCATCCACTGACCCCTCACCTGCTCTTTGGCTATAAATCCTCACTGTTCTATGTTATGTTAAGAATTGAGTTCATTTCTATAAATAGGTCTCTTTTTCCTAATTGCAATAATTCCTGAACAAATTCTGTTCTTATCACGTTTACTGTCCAATTCTGATTTTCTTTAACATTACCCAGGAAAAGAGAGAGAGAGAGAGAGAGAGAGAGAGAGAGAGAGAGAGAGAGAGAGAGATATTCTTGGCCTCCCCACCTCAATCTCTTACCTGAATCTTCTGCTAGCCAAACCTAGCAGGAAGCCAATTGGCAAGGAATCCTGGGAAATGTGCCATGTAGGAGTCAGCCCTCTTTACACAGCAAAGGAGAGGAAGGTAAAGAATGGATTGTACAATAAAGAGAGACAGGCAGTGAGACTCACGCTGCATGAGGACAGAAGTCACAACTTTCATTTTCACTCTATGTGCACAACACCTAGCACAAAATAATCATAATGATCAGAGCTAACATTTATTAAGCTCATACTGTCTGCCAAGCACTGTATATGCACAAACTCATTTAAATCTCACAGTAAACCAATGAGCTAATATTATTATTGCCAACACTGTTATATGTGTTTTGCTACATAACAAGGTCCATTTAATTGCCTGAAGTCATGTGACCACAAGGAAGTAGGGCTGGATTTCAAACCAAAGCTGCTTAGGTTCAGGGCCTGAACTCTTAGCTCATTACACTCTGCTATTTCAACAGTGGACACTCAAATATGTGTGTGAGATACTTGTGACACTGGTGATACTGAAAGATATCACTAGAAACACACAACTGAGTCAGTAGGTTGCAGATTCCCTTTGATAAGATTGGCTAAGCCACATTTGATTTCCACAGTCCAGATTAGAATCAGCAGATCCTTCTCCAGGTGTCGTGACCACATGGGCTACTTTAAGTCAAAATCTTTGTTGTAATTAATTCATTCCTAAATTATGTATTAGTTTCCTGCTATATAGCAAGCATCACGATGCCAAGATCATGGGCATACAACCCCAGGGAGGTATTAAGCATCTAAGCTAATATTTGCTAATTGAATGTGCAAACTCAAATTAGGCATCAATAGAAGAAAGGCTGGGCTATAATCTAGAATATAAAAGTGAACTTTAAAAATTATTATGCCAACTCATATTGGCTTTATTTATTTGTTGAGTAAATATTTTGAGTGCTTTAATAGGTGGAGAAAGCTATGCAAGCTTGGTGATGTCATGGTATGTAAGAAAGTCATTATCCCTAAGAAGTTTCAGAAGGGAAAGGGACAGAAAAACAAGCAATAACAGTACAGTGCTAGGATAGGAGAAATAGCCAGAGCCACAGAAGGGTCACCAGCCACTTCCTTGGAGATGTTACACAGGGCTTTTCAGAAGAAATGTGTCATCTGAGAGCTGAGAGGTGAGGAACAGCCGAGTAGGAGAGGATAGAATTAATTCAGTATGAATGGAG